CATACATAGTTCTCTCTCTCTCTTTCTCTCTCTCTCTCTCTCTCTCGCCCGGCGGCCTGCTCCGTCTATTTTTCCGGCCTCGCTCTCGCCTCCCTCATCTTTCACTCCGCATTCGTTGCTTTTCCCATCCCGTCGTCTGTGGAGAAACGATTGACGTATCGATTCCAGTAGGGTGGTGCAGTCTGGCCTTCGCCACCGTGTCTGCGCGTTCCAAAAATCCTGGCGTCGTCTGTCCTGCCGTTTCTACCGTCCACCATCCTCGACTACCCTCTTTTGCACCCATGATCTCCAGCGCGTCTTCCTCCTGTTCCTTCTCCTCCTCATCTTCGTCGTTGTTCTCCTCTCCTTCGTGCTCTGCCTGTCTCAAAATCAATGGGGGACGCGAGTGCTCTCAGTCGAGCGCGTGAGTATGTATCCACGGCGACGAAGGCACGCAGTGAGCAGAGTCGAGGAAGAGTCGGCAGGACTTAGTCGCAGGTTTTCGACTGCCGTGCTAATCGATCTCGCCCCTTTAATTTATCCGATAACCGCTAAATTCGGTCGAGCTCGCCGAAGGACGAAACTGTACGTCGAGTTACTATCGATCGCAACGCTTGCTGGTAAATTCGGCGTCTCGCATCGTATCGGTCGCAGACACGTGGCGGTGGCGACGACAGCGGCGGGCGTAAAACGCGTCGCAACACATTGTCGTCGCCGATTCGAATGTTCGGATGCTTCGGATGATAGGCACTGAGAATAGTTTTCTACGCGTATTTTTATGCGTCGTACATATATGTCGTATGAGATAAAACCAAAAAATTCGCCTCGACACGAATTTTCCCTACCCATTTGCTGACCATTTTCTCTCAATGTACAGCACGTTGCATCAACATCCTGCTCATTATGACGGGTTGCCTGTCTGGAGGCATATGTGAGAGAGAGAGAGAGAGAGAGAGAGAGTGAACGCACGCGATCAGCCCAAGTTCACGCGGCGTGTGACTCTTCTTAATGGCTATGTTGACGCAACACCCTGTACATATTGCTTTATTATGAAAAGAAACGAGAACATATCGCGCTTCGGTTCATTGAATTCGGTCGTTCGAGGTGACGGCAATTTGAACTTTCAGATGTGAATTCAGACGTTTGCTTCTTTATCTCTTTTCGAGTCTGTCAACACAGCCGGCGAACCACGCGGGCGAGATATCAACACGACACGATAAATTATATATTGGGCGTGTAAGATGCCGTTGTCTTGCCGCCCATGTCAAAGTTCTCGCAAACGAGAGTAGAGCCTTACCCTCCTTTTAAACTCGATTCCGCAATTTCTGCGACGTCTTCCAGACTCAGCCAGTGTGACGATATGCGTGCACGCGGGGAAAAGGATGGAAAGATCATGAGGAGGAGAAGGAGAGAAGAAGGTGGTAGAGAGGAAATGATGATGTTGCGTGAGTGTTTGCGCGCGCTCTCACGTGCGTGCGTACGTACCCGCTGCGTGTCCGTATGTATATGCGATCATTTTACGTCACGGAAAACGATGAATTGCGTCGACACGTGTCGGCGTTATTCCGCCCTGCGTATGCAAACTACTCGTCCCGGCTAGTATACACGTAATAGCCACGGTTATCTGGAGGTTACTCCAACAATGGCATCTTATTATGAGATGAATTACGTCGCATAATCGCCGCAATTCTTCTAGCCCTTTCCCTTCACCGAGTTTTCCCCGAGAAGGAAACTGCTCTTGCTGTTTCGCTCTCTTTTTCATTCTCACTTTTTCCTTCTCTCTCTCTCTTTCACGATGCTACACTTAATCTTGTACGGGCTGCTGCCTTTCAGCGCGAAATTGCCCGCAACATCGGTTTTAATCCTCGACGCACTACGGGTCACGGTGAACGAGTGAGCGAACGAACGAGCGAGCGAGCGAGCGGGTGGGCGCGCACCCGCTGCGCTCGTAACTTAATCCATTGCAGTGTATTCGAAAAGGAAAAACGGCAGATTGAATGACAAATGACGCTTGTATCTCGTTTAAGTTGCCCCTTCGTTAAATGCCCAGCTTTTAACGAAGGTTCAGATCCCGCGCATTGCGGCTAATCGGAATTAATAACGCTCGTGATGTCGACGAGCGTGTTCGATTTTTCACGTGACGAATGTATTATACAACATGCACGCATTCGCGTTTTTTTTCCTTCGTTGCTCCTTCTTGAATTTCTTCCACGAGACTAGATTTACCTAGAAAAGACGGAAAATATTCAAGAATACATATATAAATCGATATTCAAGAATATTTTGCGTAATTAACAATATAAATGAAATGAAACGCAATGAATGAAAGGTCAGACTATTTTGCAAAAATTAAAATGAATCAACACGTTTGCGCTATTTAAGTGAAAATTCTCGTCACAGACCATTTTGTATTTTGTTTCTATTTTTTTATGTAATTGTGTGAAACATTTAGTTTGATAATGTAGATGTAGACGAACATTTTCGCTATTACGTATACGTGATGCTGATTTCTCATGAAATGCTGGTAACAAACACGTTAGTTAAATATTAATTTCTACAATGAATATTTAACACGCAAGAAAATGTATAAATCAAATGTATATATATATATATATATATATATATATATATATATATATCTTTTCAAATAAATTTATTCAAATGAGACAGCTATTTTGCAAAATACATTTATTACGTTTTCATTCACGTAGTCCCCTTTATCCGTGTATCCTTGCGGAATTATATGTCCTTTGAATTCAGCGAAAGATCACAGATCGCTTAAAGCGGAATTAAGAGTCTCTCGGCTGACAAATTTTCGTTTCTTCATAACTGATATAGCTCGGGTGTAGGGGAAAAAAATGTCATTTATCCATTCATGGGACGTCTTCCGAGATCGAGGACGTTGGATGTCGCCGTGTATCATTTATCATGACTGAATGCCACCACCATAGGCTATCTCACGGAATGATAACTGATCGATAGACCGACTATATGCGCACACAAACGCGAAGACTTATTTTTATGTCGCGCGTCGTCTCAATGCTATTATCAGCACCAGATAAAAATTACATTAATGATAAACCGTCGGCCATCGAAATGGTAATCGACATTATGTCGAGGCCGATTTCGCGTAAAATATGGCGAGCGGAGAGAATACATTTAGAGTCAAATCTGTTTGCCATCGGCACGTTTCGTAGATAATTACGTGTCAGATAATTAAGTCTCGCCAGCCGGCCAGCTGGCTGGTTCGACGTACTCGGCTCGATTTATCGGATTCGACGTCCATTATAGACTTTCTTTGCATGCAGATTGCCGCAGCGTTTCCACAAATTTCCGCGTTCGGACAAGTAGATAACGTAAATTCAATTTAAGAGGGTTACCGAAAGATATTGAATTAAAACTGTTAGAAGGAGACGGGAACGCGAATTAATGTCGTCCGCTTTTCTTCTATCTCGCCTCGGCCCCTCTCCTCTCTCTCTCTCTCTCTCTCTGTCTCCCTCTTTCTTTCTATCTATCTATCTCTCTATCTATCTCTATGTTTGGAGGCACTCGTGCAACATCATTTATCGAACGTTTCATTGCGGTCGATTTACCTACAGCGAGAATGAAAGGGAGGTGAAGCTCAATCCTTCCATTTATTACATGTCTCAATTATCCAATATTCGAATTCTCGAACCTACCTAGTCCTATGAGATACGTCACGTTTCCCCCGGATATATCGCATGCACTAATAATTGCGAATGTCTCGATTCTGTGTCGTTCTAACCGTTTAGCCTCAAATAGTCGTTCGATACTCGAGCTGAAATAACATTCGCACGCGACCGTCGTATAAAACAAATGAGGATTACGAATGGAGGTAACGAGGTACGCGCCGATTTCAATAATATTGTTCGTATGGATAAACATTAGTATGAACAAAGGGAGAAAATGTAATTTTCAAGTATTTTGGAGTAAATCGAAATTAGACACAATCCCGAACGACATACGGGCAAGTTTAGCGGAACGTTTCACCAAAAATCGCGTGGCTCAACGGTAGCATAGGAAGAACAAAGGTCTAAAAGATGTCATAAAGAAGTCTAAAAGACGTTCTATTTTTTGTTTAGATTTTTCAGACATATTTAAAAGATATTCTAGAAATTTATTCCACTTGTATCTGACTTATAAGTTATGTAAAATCACTATTTCGAGTCTCGATAAGTGAACTTTTTTCAAGTCAAATGCCTATTTTTTACATAAAATAATTGTATATCATGTAGGTTTATATATTTGTCTATTTATGTTCAATAAAAAACCTGCAAATTAAAATAAATTATTCATGTTCGATAAAGTAAAATAAGTTCGAAAAACAACCATAGACGGAACATAATGAGCACAAATAGTGCCATGTAACAAGTATTTATTAAAATATTCATAAATAAATGATTCAGATGGAATAATTATTCTATTAGTATATCATTTGATCGCGATCGAAACACCTCATTATAATCCAAAATAGCATTTTATTAGTAATCACCATCCTTCGCGACTAACGACGGAGTATCGTAGAATGCTTTTATGGCTCTAGTATACAGGACGCGGCAATGTTTGCCGCGATGAAAATTCGTGCGGTAACTAATTAACGTGTTGTTTTTCCTCAATAATGTTTTTACATTAGTGTTACAATAGTGTTATTTGCGACTAGGCATGTAAACGTAGAGTCGTTAAAGCTCACGCGTGTAAATTCCTCGAGTAAATCGAAGATAATTTTCGTCCGACGAGAACCATACAATACGCCTTCCAAAAGAAAACGATATTGTTCGTTGTTGTTTCTCGGTATTCAACGTCAGATATCTCGCGCAGTGCAAATTCCGTCGAGTCATAACATCGACTTGAAGATATAAAAACGTAGAATAATTTGTTTGCTTTACGGCTCGTTTGTCATTGCGAGAAATGTTCTGAAACGAAGTACGGTCATTCCAGCGAACTTTACAATTGCTCCGCTCCGTGCCATCTGCCGTGACAGTTGGTAAATGCAATTACAGGTGGATCGGGGAGAAAAGGAGGAGGGACAGGGAGAGGGTGGTCTGGCGCCGTCCTCAGCAGGTTGCAGCGGTGCTTCCGGTTCGAGGATGGGCCCCGGGCCCGATTCCGGCAGCAGCGCTCCCTCTTCGGTACCCCAGTCGTTGGCTACCTCAAGGGACGACGAGGACGACGAAGACGAGGAGAGCAGCGGAAGGCGGTCCAATGGTCACGGAGGATCGAGGTTAGTGATTTTCGACGTCGATTGCCCGTTTTGTCTAACAATCTCGATTTTAGCATCAGCGCTTTATTACAGCACATGCGACAAAATGATAGATCGAGGAAATGATTCTGGACTCTTTATATATATATATTAGACCTACATATATATAGATTTGACCTATAACCTTTGAAGAGAAATAGAGGACTTTAAAATTAAATATATTTTTTTTTAATACTGTTTTCCTCTATGGTGTTTTTTTTAATAATATGTGATATAAAATAATAATTTTGTCACTTCAACAATAAACAAATATAAATGGGAATTTAATCTTGAACAAAAAATGGGACAAATATTTAAAAGTAATTAAATCTTTTTAAGCGCTCAAAAATTTCTCCATTAACTTCAACACATAGTTGATATCATTCAAGCATTAATTGTTTCACACGCTCCAAGACTACAGATTGCAATATTTTGAATTTGATCTGCTGTAGCAGTTATCCGAGCTAACAATTCTACTTCTGATTCAACGGGAGTTTCATGAATAAGATTTAATGAGATAATTTCACATGTCCCTACAAGAAAAAGTCTTACGAAAATAAATCCGATGATCAGGGAGGCCATTTTTTTATTAAGACATGAAATATCTTATAAAATATTCACTTATCGAGATAACATCATCTTAACATGTTTGTACATAGAATAACAGGTGGAATTGATCGCTGTAGCAAATATAGTAAAACCTTAAAAAAAATTTATTGCATTTTGCAAATTCGATATATCAATGTGTAATGATTAGTATCAGTAATCGATTTTTCTCATATTATTATGTAAAAAAAATATTAAGATGATATTATCGAAAAGTGGATATTTTATGAGATATTTCATATGTTTGATAATGAAAAGTGTAAGAATAAAAAGTAAAATATCTCGAAAAGTAAAAAAGTAATCACTTTTCGATGATTTTATTCTAGCATATTTATTAAAGGAAAAGCGGTAAAAAAAATAGGATAAATGTAAGAAATTGCAAATGCTTGTAACGTAGTAAATAATACAGAACTGGTTAAAAAACAAAAATGTAGCTTAAAGTCTATGATTTTGAGAAAATTTTAATGCGAATTGAGTGGGATATTTAATTTTCCTAGTTTAATAATGACAGATGATAGAGTGAGGATCTGCGAAATTGATAAATAAAAAATTCACATTACGGAGTTTCTCAGAATGAATCAGTTAATGTAGCTCAATATCATGAAAATTCAAAGACTATCCTTCAAAATGCGCTTTTGTGGAATTCGATATAATAATTTTTCGCTGAATTATGTCAATCTGAAAAAAAAATAATTTTTATACGAAATAATGATGATTTGTGATTTAAAATACTGCCATTATCAGTTTGAACCATTGTAATTCTGACCAAAGTGTATCGTACTGATTGTTCGAAATCACACGCGCGTGTATGTATGTGTGGACATCTTACAAGACAGAAATACAATTGTTCGAACTGATTAACAGCGGCATTACTTTTTATGACATTAAGTTACGTCAACTGATTCGCTCCGTGTAATTCCGGAAAGTGGACTTTCTATTTATCAGTTATCTATTTTGCAGGTCTTTCCCCGCTATTGGAAAAAATTAAACATCTCACTTGGCATTAAAAGTTTCTTAAAATACAAACTTCAAGTTACATTTTGTTTTTTAACCAGCTCCGTAATTATTTTCTGCGTTACAAGTATTCAAAGTTTCTTAAATTCTCTCTATTTTTCTATTGTACCGCTTTTTTTGTTGATCGAGTATATTTATCTCAACTTCGTTTCAAATTAAAATTTATTATTTGAGTAGAGCGAAATGAACGTATAAAAACCGTAATTTTGTTTGATAAATAGTAAATTTATGAAGAGCTTTTTTTTGATGTATCACTACAAACATGATATTTAGCGAACGAACTTCTTTAAGGATATCGTTATAACCCGTTGGACCCACTGCCTGCCGTCCGATCAACGCGGTTAAGTAACGGTTCGACTGCGGTTGGGGATGGGTGAACATTTCGCTGCCTCGAGATCGAAGCATACGAGGTGTTGAAACAGCGGTTTCGCGGTTTCGGACAGTCAGGGAAATTGCTTAAATTAAAAAAATGGCACCGCATCCGGGGAACTGATTGTACTGAAATGGACTTGAGAAAAATAGATTTTTTCAAACATTTTCTATGAAACAATTGTTATTGTTTTAATGATACGGTATTATCATTGAAGCCGAAGAGAATACGTCTTTCGTTTGAAATTTTTCATTCAAAATGAAGATATATATTCTCGAAAAGTTTAACAATCGTACTTATCGATCGAAACACTCTCTATTTCTTTGGAGCGCCCCAGTAATCAAATTTGTTTGAATGCAATAAAATTGATGAAATCCAAAGAAATCTTTTTCCCTGAGTTGTTGCCTGGTCGCTTTATTGGTAAGCGCATGAGTTCGAAGACGACACAGACCGTGCGTTTAAATACTTATAAAACAATTTGCGCACACTTTTTCATATTTTTTACTGGAAACCACATACACATTAGAGAAACAAGTGCAAATCATACGCGGACGGGTACACCGTGCTGAGTCCGTGTCCAAAATCGCGCGTCTGCCAGCAAAGTAAATTAACGATCCGTCGTACCAACTTGTATGTTAATGCAACATCATGCAAACTCAAATTCTAATTCAAATTAGTCTCCCCGGATTCTTCAAAGGGAGGAGAATCGATTTTCGGTTACGTGCGTTTCGAATCCTTAACACTTTGCGATCCATCGACGGCATGGTGCCATCGCGCTCGTTTCGACGTTGCGGTTCGTTGACGGCACTGTGCCGTCTGACAACATTGGTTTTATTAATAAATCGAAACATATGCGGTTTTAAGCAATTGATAACATGCGAAAGAGATGAATAGCGATTCGTAGCTATGTCAAAACAAGTGACGATCGCTCCAAGTGTTAGGATTGTTCTTTCGGAACTGGTATTTCGATTTTAGTCGATCGACAGATCTTAGCCGTGTAAACACTATTGTGAGCTGAGGAAAAGCAAAAAATGTTATCTAACACAGATTTTTCTTCAAATAAAGAAATTCAAGATGTAGAAGGTAAATACGCCTCTTATAATCAGTCATTGATTTATCAATCGTACACGTATTCTCTAACTGTATTTGTTTATTTATCTATTGGTTGGTTTCGTATTATGCTGTATTTTATATTATTTTGTTTCATATTATATGGTCGTAGATGATGAATTACCGGTATTTCGTCGACGTGTCGTGAGACGAATCTCGTCAGAATCATCAGACGAAGAGAATATTAATTTATATCCGCGGAGAAAAAACAATGTGCTAGCACATGTAAACGAGAAGAGAAGTATGTTTTCCATTCTTTTATTAACCCTCTTGATATCATTTATGCGTTTAAAAAATCGATTATATCTATGTTTGACTTTTCTCCAGCTCAAAATAGACCATGATTTTGATGGTCACAGAAAGTAAATCTTTCACAGAAAAGTTAACTTTTATGGTGTTTAATAATAGAGAAAACAATGAACTTCACGATAAAAGTTTTTTTGAACACGCTAAGTTCAATAGTTTTTTAGGTATCAACATTTGCATAAGAAGAAAATCAACCAAATTAAACGCGGCTATTTTCGTATTATGCCTTCGAGAAGTTCGAACACATTAGTCAAGCGTCTTTGGGCGGACCGCAAAGTGTTAAATTAACGATACCTAATTAGATAGCTACGTATGTAGGACGTGCGCATAGATCTTGCTTCGTATTACGCATAGCTGGCTTATCGGGCGTGTGTTCATCATAATATTCTACGTCAAATTTGAATTCCCCGTCACGCGTAATTGGACGCGGCGTAACTAATTTTGAAATCTAGAGTGTTCATATCAACAACAAAGTCCACCGCATTTCGTCAGCCGTTCTTGCTTCGTGCGCTTTGTCCGTCTGTGATTTCGAGCGAGTTTCCCCGCTTTTCTTTTCTTCTATCAACGACTTCTCGTGCTGCATGTACAGAGATGTCTCGTTTCGCGACCGAAGCATATATATAATCATCCGAGTCCCACTTTTATTTATTCAGTCCAGATCCAATCTCTCACTTTCCCGAATTTCTGCACGCAGATTTCCCTTTCCCCGGCTTCACAAAACATCCGTTTCTTCCCTTATGCGACCCTCATCCAACGAACGATGGAAAAACAAGCAATTCCGCCGTAGCAGTGTCTCGTGCAATATATTCCGTCGTAATTTCGTAAACACAGAATGCACTCGGCCAAACTGCGGCGTACATCAACCTTACATCTCGGCAATTAACGTCGCGATGCTCCAAAACTTTATTTATTGAACGGCGAAACCTTTTTTTCGCGAGAACGGTGTTAAAATACACTTAGTGTCGTGTCACGTCAGCTGGCCGGCCGGTTGTAGACGCAAATTTTCAATGTGAATGGCTCGTTTTTCACGATGTGATATGGAGATGGACAGACGGACACGGAGAGGAGAGGATGAAGGATTGTTTGATTGATTTTATGCGAGAGGATGCGAGATCGACTTGGAGAGAAAGAGAGAGAGAGAGAGAGAGAGAGACAACCCGTGTGGGTTCTGTGGTTCTTCTTCGCAGGTCATCAGAGATCTACTGCCGGCGTCGCGCTTCCTCGAATCAAGGACGATCTTTCTGGACGAAGGAAACCGCCGATTCGAAATTTGTCGCTACCTCCACCACTACGGAATCATTGGAGAGCTACGGCCCCGATTCAGAAATACCAGCCGCAGCCCGGAGGCCCCGTAGCACGAGGGGCTCGCAAAAGTGGAGTAACGTACGCGCGGTCATGGCATTATATTCCTCTCTGCGCAAAATTAAGAGGTATTCCCGCCATTAATCGATATGGACGGTAACCTCTGGCACTATCATTCGCATATACACCCGTACATACCGGTACATACACCAGCCCTCCCCCCTTTTTAAAACAGAGAGAATGGTGCTGGAAACGCGGTGTCTTCATGAAGTAT